GTGTGTGTGTGTGTGAGTGAGTGTGTGTGTGAGTGTGTTAATGATGAAGCGTCCCATCAGCTGCGTCATGTGTTCTCATAGTTTCCTTTCATGTTGACAATCTGATTTCATGATAAATTAACTGTGACCGCTCTTTAACTCCGCCCAGTCATTACGCCGTCAACGCCTGTCTCGCCCCCCTGTGCTCCCTTCACCTGGTCGCTGTGACAACAGTGGAGGGCATTGGCAGCGTGGCCCAAAAACTACATCCTGTCCAGGTAAAACAACACAAACTAAACTCCCAGAAGACTTTGCTTCTCCTCTGTGACGTTGTGTTTAAGAACGAGAGGGAAAAGTAAAAACACGTTGTTGTGAACGTGTGTTTTCAGGAGCGAATAGCGAGAGCTCATGGTTCTCAGTGCGGGTTCTGTACCCCGGGAATCGTCATGTCCATGTACGCTCTGCTGAGAAACAACCCCACGCCCAGAATGACCGAGCTGGAGGAGGCCTTCCAAGGTGTGGTCAACACGTGGTCAACGTGTGTTGAACAAGTGTTTAACGTGTGGTCAACACGTGTTTAACGTGTGTTTAACGTCATTCTTTAGGGAATCTGTGTCGATGCACCGGGTACAGACCCATCCTAGAGGGATACAAGACCTTGACTGTGGTGAGACAGATGTACACACACGTACTTTAATACACAAAAAGTACATATTGTATATTTCAACTGTGTTTATTGCTCCAGGAGGGCGGGTGCTGTGGCGGCCGAGGGCGGGAAAACGGCTGCTGCATGAGCAATGGGAACGGAGCAGAGAGAAGCTCAGAGGAGGACGTGGATGTGAGTCCGTCACTTATGAATAAACTTAATATACATAATATATATAAATGTAGTTTTTAAAACAGCTGTTTAAATGTTTCTGACTGTAACCTGTGTTTTTGTGCAGGAAGCCACGCCTCTTTTTAATACGTCAGACTTCGCACCGTTGGATCCAACACAGGAAGTGATCTTCCCTCCTGAGCTGATGGTAAATCAAACATTCACAACTCGTAGATATTGAAACAGGAAACACTTGTTTTAGATTTTCACTGCGAAGATTCCACTTTCCTTCAGGTGCTTTTATTCTGAAGGAACAGGAACCAATTACTGTCACTTCAGATGCTTTTATTTTGACATGTTCCTTCCTCCAGTCTCTCACCAAAGGTCAGAAGTCACGCTCGCTGTGTTTCCGTGGTAACCGGGTGACATGGCTGCAGCCCGACAGTCTCGAAGAGTTTCTGCTTCTGAAGTGGAAAAATCCAGAAGCCAGAGTCGTGACAGGAAACACTGAAGTGGGTCA